TTATAAAATAAACAATATTTTTTACAATAAATATGTGTTTCAGATGAGATTTTGTTTTTACGTATTGATCAGATATAAATTCGTACAATCGTACAGTTTGTTGCCTTTGCCTTCATAAGCTCTTTCTACGAGATCCTGCAGGGTTTTATTTTTATACTCGTTTTTCTAACAAAGACAAATTGATTAAGGCATCAAAATGTATCGTCTTTCTCTGCCTGAAGATTGTAGGTTTTCTCTTGTCTTAATATGACGTTACTCATGAAGTTCATTCTCTGGAATCTCCTTCGCTGACTATCCCAGTCCAATTTTATTGAACATTCATCAGCATATATTGGTCACCATAACATCCATACGTGATCCATAGTCACGTCAAAAAGCCAAGAAATTGACCTTAATATTTTGTAACACTATAATACGCAACGCTTTTGTGATCCAGATGTTCCCTTCCGTGTGTTGTGCTCCTGCCTGTTTTGGGAAGCAAAGCATCGCTGGTCTTCCTCCTGTCGTAAGAGGCGATAAACTGAAGCAACAGTTCACTGTCCCTAACGTGAGCTTCTCTTCCCTTCATACATCATTTCGTTATAGAATTTTCCCTTTCTCCGTACCGGAATCCTTTCCAATCACTTTACTCCATTACTTTTTCATTTATTTAGTACATAAACGTTACATATAAATATCGAACTTTAGTTGATATTACGAGAAGCTGATTAAATCTGACATTAGCCAAACGGTGAGGATAAAGGTGTGTCAACGACTGACGATAGTGCCTAATGTATGACGGGTGAGTCATTTAAGGCGAAACAACACACCAGTGTGTTCACAATTATATTAGCAATAAATAATTCCTTTGAGGTTTTGCCCTGAGAAGCGTGTTGAAAACGTTCTCTTCTAATTTTCCAATTTCATCCCAGCCTGCATCACCAGAATTGTGAGCACATTTCCAAGACTAGACGTCGTGTAGCTGACTCAAAGTCACTAGCGTCAGGGGCGAAAAGCTAATGCACTGCAATCCTGATGGACAGCTGGACGTTTTGTGTTTGTCCAGTTTCTAAATAGTTGAAATAATAACATTATCTCAATTCCACAATTAAATCACCTATTTCTGTAGAGAAATCCCGACTAGAAAAAGATTGGGTCTGTGAGACCCAAAGTTCTACCCGGTGTAGGAATATCGTGCCGTACTAAAGAAGGGTTAACTAGATGTTAACTTGACTAGGTTTGTCTTTTCAGATTTCCCTCTCATAATACTCTCGATAGGAGAACGTGTAACATCAGTCAATAACTTTCATATTTTCCACGTAACCATATTCACTCGATACAATTTGTATTGAGTTCCTTATTGAAGGAAATAACAAGCAATAACGGATCAGTAAAAATAAAGATATTATTATCTTCCATATGTAAAATAATGATTACCATATTCTACCATTTTCAGTACACTTCTACACACTACCTCGCATTTTTCTTTCCCACCTTACGTCAAAATTACGCAGCAAAGTGAAAGTATTTTAATAGTACAGGGAAGAATGAAGATGTTTCGTCAGGAAAAAACTTGATAGATTAATTCGTGTTTCCGGGTGCGTCAGCTGCTGCGGTACCGGTAAGTGTAGAGTATCTTTGTCTCTTGGATGTGGCTGTGCTCTTCCTCAACTTGATAGTGAGAACCGGCGCTGACCTACACACGTCGGCAAACTGGATTTTCCTCATCCAGGTGACTCCCACCAACGGAGCACTGTTCCAGCCGGGACAAGTTCGAAGCTCCCGACTGGTCTCCTTACATGTGTAGCAATGAGGTATATGTATGTGTATTTATTTGTGTGTAAGTAAGATTGAAGAAAAGATAAGGAAGAGGAAAGAATGATCACGAGGACCGTAGCCCGTTGATTAGGCTCCTCTTAGGCTAGATGTTGATCGGAGAAATCACGGACAACTAGCGGTCAGAACAAGCAGCCGCTGAAATTCTCCTTCAGACAACGGGAAAATTCGCTTCGCTAGTCTCTGAAATCCTACCACTGTCGGGACTGAAACTCCAGGACCTCCCGTTCAGAGGCACCGCAATCACGTCAGTTGATACCCTAAGGCACCTCAGGTTCCTAAGGCAGCTCAGAATAACTTGTATTTTGGGTTCCTGATGTCGACAAAGGATAACGTTTGCTCCTATATGTAGTAAATTAGTCCTCTAATGTATTGTGTTGCTAGATCCATCTGTTAGTGTTTGCTCAACTGTAGCACTTAAACCATTCAGACGATTTTCTCCAAAATTAATATTCTTCAATCCATTTGACCAACGTCGAAGAATGCGCAATTGAAACGGTTATTTTAAGATTTGGGAGTTCTTTACATGAAACCTTAACAACATATTCAACATTTTCTGACATGACTCCAAATGTTTGGGTTATTTTTTCCGTGAATATAGCAATCTGTTCCTCAAAATACAGATCTTTAAATAAGGGCATTCACAATTTTTCGGAAAATGTATGTCGTTTTCGCATAATTTCAAAAACGGCTCCATTTTTCCCCCTGGGGTAGAGTATTAGACTAATAATTACTCAGTTACATTTCCTGTAAAGTCTGTTTGTTTTCTAAAATTCTAAAATTTATCATTGCAAACCTTTAATATTGATGATAGTGATTTTTTCTTAATAAAATAATTTCCAAAAAAAATAATCTTTAAATAATGTCGTGTACGTTTTTAGTAACAGCAATTTATGAAAAAATTTCAAAGTCCTCTCCAATTTTTTATTTCGTTTTTTCCCTCGGATAAAGAAAAGAATTCTTAGAAAATGTTGCATGTTCGTTGAAGTCTCTGCATGTTTGAAAGTTGCAAAAGTTGCTAATAATCCGAGAAGGCATGTGAAGCTGACCTTGGAGGTATTAGGGTTAATTAATAAGGGATCAACCATAAGTTACGTAACACTGAAGAGGGGGGTGGGGGTCTCAGACAGCGTTTCGCTGCGTTACATAGGGGTAGAGGTATATTAGTTAAGTGTTGCGTAACATTGATATTAATTTTTTTAAATTTTTCAATATTTGCTGAAATGTTTCTTTTTTGTGTCCTGTACTAAAACAATACAATATTAACTAATTAATTGATTTTAAAAACATAAATAAACTAAAGTCATTAGTCGCAAATTGTTTCAATAAATGAAAATACTTTTTTTGAGTCTGTATGATTACGAAGAAAATATTCAAAACTGATATGAAGTATATCCTAGAATCCATTTAAATCGGCGCGGTGGACCCGCTCGTGCGTCATCCGCGATGATATGCACAGCTTGGGATCAACCATTTCGCACCCCTGCATTCTTTCTTCACGCACTACTTACCCAATCTTATTGTCAGGCGCAACCAGGGTCACCAACTAATTTCCACTTTATGATTAATTTCAATATTCAACACACATAAAATAAATACAATTTTTTTTTACTGTGCTATAATCTATTTTCACTTCTTGCATTTACAAGAGGGGTTGTTGTCGAAGGCGTTACGTAATTTTTAGCGCGTTACGGGTGCGTTACAAAGGGAGTACGTTAGGGGATTATGTAATTATGGTCCGCCACTAGTGAACAACACTGCAGGATTAAATAGGTTAATATTTAGAAATAGAAAAACAATTTCTTAGCGTTCGTCTAAAAATCGTTCGCTTTAACTTGTTACTTGCATGTCAGAGGTACTATCTGTTTGGTTGCACAGACACATATCGATCAGAAAATGTGTCAAAATTGTAGAAAGTAAACTAGTGTTTCAGCTACTTGTGTTCCTGTTTTCGATCGGCATTTGCATCAAGAATATCTTAGGAAGAAATCAAGGTCACCTGTTTCGTTATTCCTGAGTCTATGTTAGTAGACCAGCCATGGAAGCCGACGAAAGACATGCTTTTTTGCTTGGGACATGAAGTACACAAAGTAAAAAAATATTTAATTTTTAGGGTAATAAATGTATATCATTTTTTAATTTCCCCAAAAGTTTAATAATCTTTTCAAGTAAGGTTTGTATTATACAGCATTGTACGCTTTCACGGCCGGAGTCAATATTCTTCATGTCAGCCCGGAAGACATGAAGAATATAAGGTTTGTATTGTTTTAGCTGGAATTTTAAATGATTACCAGAGAAGCAAAAAATAAAATGGAAGGGAACAATTGCAGCCGTATTAGTAAATTGAGTTGTGAAATTATAATATTCATCGTATATGGTATTAAAATATTTAAAAAAGAATTTTGACAAAATATTTATGATGTACCCTATACACTATTAATTATTTTTCGTAAATTGCTTATTAAGATTAGTAATCATGAAATAAAGAAGTTTCTTATTTAACAAGAAACGAATTTTTAATTGAAATGGGAATGAACAGCCAACGACAGGTATTTAAAGAATAAAGAAAATGGTTTCGGAGACAAATTTGGTTTTCAACAGCAATTAGGGGAGTAGAAAAGTGTGCACATTAAATTAGTTTTGACTCTCTATGGTTGTTTCTTTGCAAAAGGTAAAGAAACATATCTAAAAAAAAATTGCAGCGCAATTTATAAAAATATGCTAATACCCTATCATTTATTTGCTTCTATACACTTTTTACATCTCTAAGAGAAATTTAAATTGTTTCTAAGTAGGTGAAATGCCTTTTATAATACAGAGAATAAAGCAGTAAAGTAATCAGTGTGGTATCGAAAAGGCAGGAAATGTTCAAAATTTTGTTATTTCTTTCGATATTTTGTGTCGTATAAATGCACGCGGCTGTAGCAGCAAGAAAGTCTTTATTTTGTAACGTCGTGCGAGCGCCGGAGCGGCGCGGCGCAGGGCGCTTCCTGAGCCCTCTGAATGCACGTCCTGGCGTGGCGCCCTGCCCTGGCTCCTCCCTGCAGCCGAGCGCCGCCCTCTCGTTCCCCGCGCCCGCGATCCTGCATCGTCTCCTCCGCTCGTGAATCGAATCGAACTTCTGCGCGGCAGCGCCGTCGTGCGCAGGCGCCGTGGGCGTTTGCCCTCGCCTCGTATACACACACATGCTCACGCCCTCCGCCACACAGACACACACGGAGGCGTGCGGCCGATACCGAGGGGCGCGGGGGGGCGAGGGGGGCGAGGGTGCAGGGCAGCAAGTGAGAGTATTCAGTCGCTTTCTACGTCGACCACCGAGCACGCGCTTATCCCGGCCGCCGCGAGACCGCCAGTGAGTTAGCAACGCCCCAATATCCCAGTGCCCGCAGCAAGGACTGCTGCTAGCTTTTGATAGCTACCCTAGTGCGCCCGTGTTGTTGTGTGGGTGACTAATGCCTTTATGCGCGTTGTATGTCATTTGGCCTAGAATTAGTTAGTCTCGGTTTTAACCTTGAAGTGAAAGAGTTTTTCGTTAGTTCCTTAAATTGGGGATGTGCTTTCATTCACCCACTCTCTGATGTATGTGTGTGTATTTTTTTGTGTGAATATGTGAGTGGAATGATTGTTTTAATCTTCAAAATAATATTCAACGTATTAATGCTAGTTTCAGAAAATAATGGTGACTGCATTATAGTGACTGAGTGCAATGTCCACCTCTTTTCAAGTATTAAAAAATTCAATTGAAGTCTAAATCATTGATAATACAATTAAGAGTATATTGTTAGCAATTTCAACAATGAATGACGAAGGAATTAATTTAAATTCCTCTTTTCGAAAATATTGGAGGAGTATTTGTATTCTTACCATACTTGATAATTGCAATTTTATTCTTCGAGTCAGACTTTCACTGTCATTACGACAAGCCAATAATAACGGTATAACGACGAAACGTCTCGCTTGTACTACATAGACTACGAGATATTGTCTTTTCGTGTTGCTCGCCCAAATATTTTTTGTATCAAGACTTTCGTTTTGACAAATTGTGAATCGTATTATTGACAAATTGAAAATGTCCTTACTCAACATACTGAAAACCTCCCAGAATTACCATTTTAGATTCTGAGAGAAGATAGTACGGTTTCTACATATTTCAAATCCAGGTCATGGCCAGTTCATGGTATCAAATCCAGATCAGGAAGGTCGATATTATGAAATTGTTCATAAAAATGGCTTCATTTGAATGTCATTTAAAAAATTATTCACGTTTTCACATTGTACTTAGTAATAACTTCAGTTTTTGAAATGCAACCACTTTTTTCACGGGGTATTCATCAATAATAGTTTTACCTATTGGACCTGTCTTATTGTTTTCAATCCAATTAGTGAAGCCACAATGAAGCATAGAAAGTTGATATTTCGTGAAATAGTATAAAAGTATAAATAGTATAAAATAATAGTAGTAGTAAAAAGTGAAAATAGTATAAAATAAGAAAATTTCAAAGTATAACGACTTTCTCTTCAATTATCCAATATATTTCTGTCATTACTTCTTTCTGCATCATTACGTTACATTTTATATTATTTATCTTCACTTTGTCATACGCCTATACAACTAAAAGAAAAACAAAAAACAAAAAAAAACGAGAAGGCATGTTAAATTCACATTGCAACTTACCATAATACTTATTTTCGCCTGTCCTTTTAATTCCTATCTATTAATGATTCGAACATGTGAGAATACTTTAAAAATTTCGTTATATTATAGATATTGATCCCTGCAAGAAGTACACAGTTCAAGCATCAATAATTCGCATTTCGCAACAATGCACGCCTTAAAAGATCTATGAAAGTTCCAACAAAGCGTTTCCATGAAAATTTACGTGTGCGAAAATTTTCTCCAATTTGCGAAATATATATTTTACCCAATAATTACATTCCAGTTTATTATGATTATTCAAAACCAATTTTTAGTAATTATATAAAATGTTTTAAAGTAATATTTGTTGAGGTCTAAGTATAGTATAATATAATTTAAAATTCATTTTAATTAATACATAAATATGATTTTCCACTCGTTTTGCAAAATTATTTATATTGATGATATTAATAACAGTATTAAAAATAATAAAAGTAATAAAAATAATAACAATAATATCGTATAGGGTGAAAATATTTTTCTCACAATATTATCTACGCAAGAGAGATAACTATTGCAAATAGCAATGTATTTTGTTACGCACTTGTAAATTAAGGGAATGAAAGATTGCTATTTCGAAAGCGATTAAAATGTTATTTTTATTAATATTCCAAGAAAATAATATAACTGTTGTGTTCAGAATCTTCATCTACGTAAAATTGAAGATACATGATTTTATGTGAAAATAACGCTGAGAAGCTTTTTATTCGTATGAAGCGAATTTTCTTCTACGGCTTTCTTGTTTTTGTAGTTTTGCAAAAAATTATTTTACCATTTTAACGACAGTCTAGGATACGTGGGCACCTAGGCAAGCTTCCCCGCCAAACACCTCTGCATGTCACATCTGCTTTGGGGTATAGAAAATAGTACGTTTACTGGGTGCAGACGAAAACGCAAGAGACAATTATTGCTAATATGCATGCTGCAGTTACCAGTCTACAACCACAAACATTTCTATGTGAGTGATATCGCTGAGAGGGCGGCCCCATGTGCATATTTGGGTGTCTACACGTTTCAATGTTTGCGTATTCAATAGTTTGTTTACCAGAACCAACGTATGTACTTCTACCACTATTTAACGCACCATATCTTCCATAATGAAGTGGGAAACAAAGACAAATAAAATGCTGCACTAGCAGTGGTAGATATCGTGCCTCAACATTCATTGTACATCTTTATTTTACTCAAATCTTCTCAGTAATAATTATAAACGTGCGCTGGTACAAGCTATTTTTATTAGTGTTGTGGCATTCGAAGGCAGCATATTGACTTATAAAGGGCTCTACACCAATAGAGCGGAGATTCGGACGGCGTAGAAAAGGAAAGTTTTTTTTAGCCTAATTCTTAGAATTTAAACTTGGTGTCATTACGCGTTTCAAGAAGATAACGTTCTCTCTCGTGAAGCGTGTAACACTGCGGATCATATTGGCGAACGGTACCCACATGTTTCTGTGTGTTAAACGTACACATATCGGCAAAACAAAATCCATAAATGCCTGAGACAAATTTTATGTATGCAGTGTAAAGCATGGATTGCGTTATTGATTAAACAAATAAACCAACACAGAGTGATTCAATTCAGATGGATGCTGTGGTGCTATAGCACACACTTTCTCGAATTATTTGCAACGGTTTCGCAGTATTATACTTTTCGATAAACAACCTGTAAAAGTGTCTCAGCCAGAATTTTTTTTCTCCGCGCTGGGTTTCGAACTCAGAACCATATAACAATATTAACGATACTCATACACCCCACGTTGCTCCTCACAGCTAAACTTAACCTTCCCAATGCGTTTAAAAAAGATTTACACAGTTTTTCGATATCAAAGCCCCGAAATACGAATGTTATCTGTCGAAAAACCGCCGTTTTCTGCCGCAACATTACAATAGTTTCTCTGCCCTGCGTGAGTACGTACATAGCAAAGCGAGAAACTAAAACAATTAACATTTGCATTTACAATTTTCAAAAATTAAGAGCTTTTCATTAACATAATTTGAAAATCTAGTTTTGATGAACAAAATTCGTTAAGGAAAAATTCTTAATCATCAATATTGTATATTACCAAAGTTAATTTTTTGTTTGTGATTTTCGAAAATACAAGTTCGCTGAAAGTGGTATCTGCACCATTTTTAACCTCTCTTTGCTATACCCGAGGGAAAAAAATTAAAAATTTTAGTTTTTTTTATAAATTGCATTCACTTCAAAGAGAAATTACGGGAAAGCTGTTTTTTTGTTTTTTCAAAACCTTATCCTTGATCTTAATTAAAGATTTATTTTTTCAAACAAACTTCATGAAGGGAATAAATCTGTATCATCAATAGTGTACTTTTACAACGTTATTTTTTTTCATTTTTCAAAAAAAAAACTCCAAAAAGTTTTTCTAAAATGAGACTAACGCCATTTTTTCTATCATCTCTTGCTATACATTCGAGAAAAAAAATTAAAAAATTGGAGCCATTAAAAAAAATTGTTTAAAAACTGCCTATTACTCGAAAAGTAATCATATCTTCTAAAAAATTGTACATGCCTTCATTTAAAGATCTATCTATTATCTTTGAATAATAGATAAAAAAATTACCTTCATCATTGCTGTTGTAGGGAGTCGCCGAAAAAAATGGCCTTTTTGCGATTTTCGGAAATTCAGAAATTTTAACGAAAATGAGGCTGCGTCGCTATTTTAGTCCTTTGTGCTACCGGAGGAAAAGGTTAAACCAAAATGTAAAGCCAATTTTGAGAAACGTTGAAAATGTTGAGGCTTCATGTCAAGCACTCCCCAAAAATAAATTTATTCGTTTCAAATTTGCAGGGCTTGGAGTTCGTCCAGATCGATCGAGGAATATACATTTTGGGGAAAATCGTCTGAATTGTTTAGGTGCTAGTGTTGACCACAGACAAACGGAAGGACAGTCAGAGAGTCAATCAATTTTTCAGTGAATAAGAACAGTACGTGAATTCTAACTATACGTGCCAGAAGAAGTAATTTACTACATATAGGAATATCATTTATCCACTTTTCAATACCCAACATTATGAGTTTTTTTCCTTGAAATTTCGACGATTTATGTTGCCGCTTTACAATACTTACTTTAACTACGTAAGTATCTAGTAAGGTGAGAAAGTAAGAATTCACCGCCATCTTCTCCTCAATTAGATGGATTAGATTTTAATGTCAGTTTGCTGAGAAAAATTGCTTTTCCTCATAATGGTGTCTTGGCGATTCGTCACCTTCTGCATCAGGGTTCATCTTGTTGTCGGCCAAGGCCAATTGCTCCCTGCTCTGGACGGGCGGCTGGGACCAAGCGGGAGCGTATGAGAAATTGAAATGTCAAATTCGTAGCTATGAGAATCACATCGGTCAATCCTCACTGGCGCCTCTCCCTCCACATTGTGACATTGTTTCGTACACAGACGCTACCCACGCACTCCTACGAGCTCAGATACCAAAACATCTATTCAAATTGCCTTCGAATGGATATTCTGTATTACATTTTCATTAGATAGCAAAAATGATTAAACAAACAATTCGATCGAGATATTTTAAAGAATACCCACGACAATAATGTTTAGACAGGAATTGATGATTTGATGTAAATCGTGTAAATATATATTTCTAAGTGTAAATTTCAAACTATCAAAAAGTGCTTAGCGTTTCTGT